AAGGGGTTGCAGACAGGGAGAGAAATGGGAGAACCCTACGGTAGGACTGAGACTTGGACTTGGACTTGGACATGCTTATTAGAGAAGCAGAAAATACATCATTTAGAAAAAAAATCAGCAGCAGTAACTATTTACTTTGTTGTTTGTGTAACGTGCATTTCACTGCATGCCTTGGAAAAGCTGACAATTTTTAGCAGTGACACGGCAGGTTTCTTACCAACTTTTAGAATTTTTCTCCTGATATTACTGGTATGCTTTACAGATGCAGAGCCCTGCTAATCTTTGGACTTCAGAGAATGTAACACATATTTTTGTATCTCAAAAGATGTATGGTAATAGTTAGTACCCCATTTTATACTGAAGGAAAAGAGGCTAAGAGGCTTGTCCAAGGTCACAGAGCAAGTCAGCGTCAAAACCTGAGACAGAATGCAAGAGTCTCAGCTCTCAGTCCTCACTTCCTACTGCGGGAAAAAGTAATATACTCAAGAATTATTTTTTTTCTGTGATCATTTTCTAGCCTGTCTTTCAAACCTTTATGCTTATGTTTGTATCGGGGACTGTAAACACTAAAACCCAGTGCATGGTGCTGAAATATTAGATGCTTTCGACTAATTTCAGGACACAAAGAATATTCTTTTATCTGGGCCATAAATCAATGGGGCAGGGACACAGTAGTTAAACAAACCGTAGTAGTCCATAGTCTGACTATGAATGCTGTAGTTACAGAACTCATTACCACACGCCTACTTAACAGACCAAATAACGTGCAAATCTAGAGTTACTATTTGTCATACTTAAGAAAAAGCAAAGAATAGCTGGGCAAACAGTCAATTTACAACCAAAGTGAAAGTAAAGCGCTGCCAAGAGACACTGAAGCTTATCTTGCCCCTATGGAAACAAATGGAAATTTGGGCAAAACCTTGTCTAGCATCAGGCTTACTTAAGTTCACACATTTTGGCTCAATGCACATTTTCACAAATGACTAAAAAACTCTGAGAAGGTAGATGTTGGAAAGAGAATATTGGCAAGTCCTTACCTATAGTAATAATTGCTGACATTGCTGTAGTCGCTCTGACTAAAAATATCCAATACAATAACAAACCCAGTGAACCCATTCATTTATTCCCATTTCACAAAGGCTATTTACATATATAGAGAAGCTCAAAATAAATTCTGTATTCATCGTATTTACAGCACATTCTAGACCAACAAACTGGCACCAAAACTATTTATTTAGGGAATATCATCCAGGTTAGAATCTTTCAAATCTGACAATTATTTTTCATTTTGAGCATGCGATGATTACAACAGCAGCATGGTGGGCCCATGTTTTATAAATATAACAATAAACAAACCTGGCACTCTAAAACATTACCTTTTTGTCCAAAAGCAATATAATTCTGACTGTATTTATAACATAATTAAAAATGAAAAAGCTAAAAGACAATTGGAATTGCAGCAAATGTAGCCATACTAATGAAAATCTTATTTTATAAAGTGGATATGAAGGTGTTTGTTAAGACATAATTTGCCGTGCAAGCACATTTTTTCACTAACCTCCTACAATTCTCTAACATCTTAAAATATGACCCATTTGCAACTGGTGCTAAAATTCCAAGAAGTTCTGAAATAAGACCTGAGGAAAGCCGAGCAGCAGGGTTGCTCTCCATTTCAGCCAAATCCAAGCCAATGTTCCAGATTACATATATCATAACATAAATTACTTTTTCTGAAAATCCCGTCCAGTTTTTATGCAGGTCCATAAACATTACTGGTACTTTTATTAATTTGTCCATAACCATTTAAATAAAATTCTCGTGCTCCGAGCTGTGATCTGTTCCAGGCTGTAGTAAGTTCCTGTTAAATGTGTAAATGTTCAGCAGAAAGATATTTTTGCACGGAGACTGAAAATCAGCTGTGCCAGATACCTGAAACTTTGTTAGGGCGTTCAGTGGAAAATTTTATTTCGACATTATAAATAACCATGGACTATTTTAAGTGACCTTACACTGGTAGCTTCCCATAGCTTATTTTAGTTTATCCTAATTAACTTTTTATTTTATTTTAGTAGGAAGAGAGGAGACTGTAAAACTTTTAGTGTGACTAATTAAAAGTGGAAATATATCTTCTTGATTGGAATAAAATAAATCATGATTGTCAGGCTTATATAGTATTGGGATATAAGACAACCTCTCGCTTTCTTTCTAGCACCTTTGGAATGGTTCTAAGGGAATGTATTTCCCCTCCAGATAAAGCAGGGGGAAGCGAGAAGAACCTGTGGGCATAAACATTTTACTGAAAGAATTATGAACAAATGCATTTTCTGTATTGCAACTATAGCAAAGCAGAGCTTCTGACTATACTCGTCCTTATAGGTGATGAGTAACTGTCCTTTGGAAATGCCTGTGGCCACTTTTGGGGAAAAGCAGATCCCAGTGGTTGTTGGAGAAGTGGGGCGAGCTGAGGAGCTGTTTGCAGCGTTATCCACAGCAACTGCATTTTTGCAACGGGGTAGCAAAACTTCCACAGCCTTTCCAACGTTGGACCAAGAAAAGTTAGGAGAAAAAAAAAAAAAAAAAAAAAAAAAAAAAAAGGGTAAAAAGAAAAGGGGAAAAAAAAGGGGGCAGGAAAAAAAGGAAAGGCCATAGATCGCTGCGAGGCAGTGGGTTAGGGGCTGTCCCTCCCCATTTTAAGCGTGGGAAAGCCAGAGGAGCGGAGGAGTGAGGGCAGAGCGCGGTGCGGGCGCGGAGCGGAGCGGAGGCGGCAGCCGCGGTGCGCGGAGCGAGAGCTCTCCCCTGTGACCGAACATCAGATCTATTCTTATTCGTCTTCAGAATCAAAAAGGGAAGGAGCAGCGCTGCAGCCGAGCTGCTGCGTCTGCACCCACCTTCCTCCCGCGCAGCGCCCGCGGTTTGACTCGGGTGGGGGGGGGGGGGGGGGGGGGGGGGCGGGGGGGGAGCGCAGAGATTTGGTGGGGGAGGCAGACAGGCGGCCGGGGGTTGCGCGGTGAGCGCTGCTGGCCCGGCCGGCGGAGGGCGCGGAGGCTCCGCGGGGCGCGGAAACAGCCCCGGAGGTGTCTCTTCACTCCCCCCTCCCCCCACGTCCCCCCCACCCGTGCCCGTGGACGTGGGGCCGCCGAGCTGCTGGGCCGGGCTTTTCGCGGAGGGGCAGGCAGGACAAACCTGGCTTTTCTGCTGGGTCAGGGTGCCGGATTTAGGGCTTGGAATGGCTCCGTAAAATGGACACATCCCCCCCCCCTCCGCCAGGCACCCCCCCAACAGACAGACAGACAGACAGACAGACACACACACACACACACACACATACACACCGCCCCGAGTCACACACAGGCGGCGAGCAAGGAGCACACACGCAGCGCCGACTTTTTACAAGAAGGTGGAAGTAGCAAGTCGAAGTAAAGCCTTAGAAATTAGAGGGAGGGTTGTGATAGGTTGTTATCTGCGCTGGGAGGCGTTTACACTTTTTTACTATTGGGTATGTAAATTGTTTTTAATAAGATCTGCCCTTTTTTTTTTTTTTTTAAGGGAGAAAACAAACCAGACTCCCTTTACCTTAATAGTCTGAAGGGGGTTTTATAGCTTTCATTCATTCAAGGAAATGGTTTAGTCTTTAGACTACCGGAGACTTAGCAAAAAAAAAAAACCCTTTGGCACCAGATTATTCTTACTATTATTTTTTTTTTTTTTGCAAACAAGATTTTTCATGCCTTTTTTTTTTTTTTTTTTTTTTTAAAAAAAAAAAAAACCAAACAAACAAGCCCAAAAGTGTTAATGGAAAAAACTCGGAGAGAAGTGGAGATCGGAGACCATCTCCTGCTCCCCCCCTTCCCCGTCCCCCTCCCCGTGGGTGAGAGCGATTTAAAGCAAAGTTTCTCCTCCTGTGGGGGATGCACATTGTTTTATTTATTTTGAAGGCTGCAGAAGTCTGAGGACTGAAGCACCACGTGCTGCTGACTCTCATCAGCATAATGATCGCCTTAGCCAGAGAGTCCTGTATATATAAACCACAAAAACCTAATCATTAGAAATCCCAGCCTCCAAAAACCACATTCAGGACAAAAAAAAACGTGGCTTTTTAGTTTTTTTTTTTTTTTTTCGGCTCCTTCATCTTCCCCGACCTCAACTTCTCGGGACCCAAGTTTGTTGGTTTTGGTTGCTTTTTTTTTTTTTTTTTTTTCCTTACCCGATTTTTCAAAAAGAAAAATAACTCAAACAAACCGACATTTTAATGATTTTTTTTTTTTTTTTTGCTGCTGTTGTTCATCAAGGGCGGAAAAAAAAAAAAGATTTTTCTTAGCCTATTCAACTCAACGGACTTGGATCCAGCAGCGACTTAATTAAAAAGACCGGACTGCACCAAGGCTGCCTTTTCCCATAATTTACTTGGTCATATTTTAGAAATCAGCCTAAGGAGGGGTGTTTTGTGGTGTTGCTTTTTTTTTCTTTTTTACCCCAACTATGCTCCCCGCTTTTTTTTTCCTGGGAATCCGAAAGTTCAACTTTTCTTAAGTCCAGATCCTCCCAAAGGAACCGGCTAAAGCCTCTCTTTTCATTATTAGTCCTGTGACTTTCCTCCTCACCCCAACAACCCCAGTAACTTTCTTTCCACGCCGAAATCGCTTCGGGAGCGCCTTTTTTTTTTCCGGGGGGGTGGGGGGGGGAGCCACTTTTCCCAAGCCCCTTCCCGAGCTCCCGCTTCCCTCCGCTTCCTGAAGCCAAAGGCAATAAGCGGGGGAGCCCAGCGGCTCCTTTCCTCTGTCCCGGCGAGGCTTTTTGTTTGCTCCTTTTCTCCTTTTTTTTTTTTTTTTTTTTTTTTTTTTTTTCTGTCCGGAGGAGGAAGATTTCTTCGGAGGAAATCGGGACATTCTCCTGAACACCCCCTCTCCGGGTTTGAGAGTTACGCTCCTCTTCTGGCGGCCGCCAACAGCAGCAGCCCAGGAAGCTGAACCAGCAGCGAGTTTTTACTTCTCCCCAAACAACCTCTTGAAAATCCGAAAAGGAAAAGAGGACGGGGAGGGAGGGGAAGAAAAAAAGGAAAGAAATTCAAGCACTTGAGGGAAGAAGCGGTGGCTAGAAGGAGGGAAAAGAGCAGAGAGACTGTGCAAGAAGGAAGGAGGAGGAGAAGCGGCAGCGCTCGCAGCTGGGCAGAAGCCGGGACCATGCAGATTCCAGCCGGGCTTTGCTGAGCGGGGCAGCCCCGGACCCCCCAGCCAGACTCTTCTCGCTGCTCCAGGCTGCAGGCACCCCCAGACCGGCATCGCCCCCCGCCCCGTCCATCTTTCTTTTAAAACAAACCAAAACGAAACAAAACAAAAACAGACTGAGATTTTTTTTTTTTTTAAACTCGTGCGTTTAATCCGCTCCTGGTTTTTGATTTTTTTTTTCTTGATTTGCTTTTTTGCCCTTTATCCTCAGCCCTCCACTTTTTCATTCACCCCTATTTTCGCTATATAGATTTTTTTTTTTTTTACCAACCCCCACCCCCCACTACACGCCTCCTCGAGCGATCCCCCTACCGCTCCCCCCCCCACCCCCCCCGCCCCCCAATTCGCTAACTTGTGGCTGTTGTGATGCGTATTCCCGTAGATCCCAGCACCAGCCGGAGGTTCAGCCCCCCCTCCAGCAGCCTGCAGCCCGGCAAGATGAGCGAAGTCAGCCCGGTCGTAGTAGCCCAACAGCAGCAGCAGCAACAGCAGCAGCAGCAGCAGCAGCAGCAGCAGCAGCAGCAGCAAGAAGCGGCGGCCGCCGTGCCCAGGCTGCGCCCCCACGATAACCGCACCATGGTGGAGATCATCGCTGACCACCCCGCCGAGCTGGTCCGCACCGACAGCCCCAACTTCCTCTGCTCCGTGCTGCCCTCGCACTGGCGCTGCAACAAGACCCTCCCGGTGGCATTCAAGGTGAGACACCCCCCCACACCCCCCCCCCCCACACCCCCCACCACCACCACCACCCTCCCTCCTCTTCTTCTCCCGCAGCCGCCGCTGCCCGGGGATGGGGGGGATGCCTCCCCCCCGCGCCGCGCTTCCTCCTGAGGAGCCAACTCTGAATCCCCCCCCCCCCCTTCTCCGGCCCTCAGGGGCTTCACTGCATTCCCCCCACACACACACACCCCGGGCCTACAATGACTTCTGTGCCCCCCCCCCCTCCCCCGGCCCGCAGGGGCCTCTGTGCCTCCCCCTGACACACACTCCGACCTGCAAGGAGTCCTGTGCCCCCCAGTCCTGCAATGCCTCATGTGCCTCCCCCCCAGTCCTGAAATGCCTCCTGTGCACCCCCCCCTTCCCGTTCTGCAATGACTCCTGTCCTATCCCTTTCCCCCCCCCCAGTCCTTTAATGACTCCTGTGCCCCCTCCTCCTGCAGGGACTTTTGTGTTTCCCCACCACCACCCCCCGCGCTCCGCGCCATCCTGCCTCCTGTGCCCCCCCGGCCTTCAGGGGCTTCCCTGCTCCCCCCGGCCTGCAATGCCTCCTGTACATCCCCCTCGCCCCCCCCCCCCCCCCCCCCCAGCAAGTCTTGCAATGACTTCTGTATCCCGTCCCCGTCCTGCTGTGTCTCCGGTCCCCCCCCCGCGTCCTACAGTGCCTCCTGTTCCCCCCTCTGCTCTGCGAAGCGTCCTCCCCCCCTCTCCCAACTCCAATGCCTCCTGTGCAACCCCCACAGTGCCTCCCATCCTCCCCCCCCAGCGTCTCCCGTGGCCCCCCTTCCTACCGTGCTTCCTGTGCCCCCCCACCCATAATGCCTTCTCTGCCCCTCTACCTCGCAGTGCCTGCTCTGCCCCCCTCACCCTGGCAGCAGGTCCGGTGCCCCCCCCTTGCTCTGTCCCCCTTATCCTCTCCCGCCCACCCCGCCGCCACAGCACGCACCCCCGGGAGCCGTCCCGTTATCTCCATCCCCGCGGGACAGTGCTGGCGTGTCCCCCCCCGCAGCTCCTGGGCACCCCGTGCTTCCCCTGAAAGATTCCCCAGAGACACCCCCTCCTCCCAAAGACCCTCTTCTGGACTTGGATTTTTTTTTTATTTTTTTTTTTTAATGCTTTCTCTCCCTGAGGAAGGGAGATTCACCCATCAGCCAGAGCTCCTCGGCGGGGGTGCCCCTGCCTCCCTTCCCCCTCACGGGGGTGGGACTGGGGGATTTGGGGTGGCTTTGAAGAGTGTTGGAGAGGCTGGGGTCCGAAGGTCAGGCTGGGGGCACTGGGCTGGGAGAGGGGGACCAGGGCTTTGCCCCCCTTACCCCAGAGGCAGCCGGGCAGAGATAGGGCTGGGAAGGGGGGGACGGGATTCCTGGGGGGGGGCTGGGGCCCCTTCACTTCTCCTGGTGGACAAGCAAGGAAGTGTCTGGCCAGAAGACGCTCTCCTTGGCAGGGCTTGCACGTTTAAATAATAAATACCACCCCGATCTGCACCGGGGATGCTGCTTTTAATTTTCTGTCTATGTCCCCACAGCATGCTAATAAGAGGAAAAGAATTTTTTTAAAACTGTAATAATAACAACAATAATTGCATGCTTTAAAGCAAGCCATTTTCCTCCCCTAGCAATATTTGAAAGCGTTCCCCCTGGAGTTTTCTCTCCTGCGGCCTTTGGTAGGGAGAGGGAGATGGTTTGGGGGTCCCAGAGTACCTGCCTGAGCGAGGTGTGGGGTCGGGGCTAGGCTGGGGTGGCCCTGTGAGGGGCTCATCGCTCCCACATCCACTGTGTGAAAAATAACATGTCTGGAAATCACTCAAAAGGTAGAAGAGTTAGGAAACAGTCTCACCCGGCGCGTTTCCAGAACATCGCCTTGTTCTTGTGTTTCCCGATCGCTAGCTGTGTTATCATGGCCATTTATCCAGGAAAAGTTAGTAGAAGTGGTTAAATGAGCTGGCGTTAAAGTGACTGGTGTTAAAGATGCTTCAAAAATGTTGTAGAGGTGCGGGTGAGAGTTGACTAAAGCTCTCCTGCGTGGGGGAAGCAGCTTGGAGAGCCTGGAGTTGCAGGAGGAGCCCTTTGCACAGGGCCTGCTTGTGCAGGTCGTGATGGTCGGATTAAGTAGAAATGGCAGGAAAATGGGGTGTCTTCCATTTTCATAACTCAGTGTAGCACTCAGAGGCTCCCTAGGTGTGGATCACAGCGATTCTGATCACAGGGGCTGCGGTGTAAGGAGGAGGAGCTTTTAGAGAATTGTGATTATAATTTAATTGAGCATTAGATTAAGTTGGTATTGTAGTTACTCTTTATAGAAGGGACGCGAGTGCTCTTACACTATTGTACTCACATTGCAGTTTTCATTTGAAACATCTGAGCCTTCTCCTACCTTACAGCAATTCAAAGGATGCGGTCGCAGTTCATTAGAATGAGGGAAAGATCTAAACTAAATATTAAAGTATTTAGCATATTATTACAATGTGAATGCTTGCATGTGATAAAAGGACAGAAAAAGGTTTAGAGCATTCCCCCATCTTTTTGTGTGCATATATATATATTTATACATGCCATATGTTTGGGTCCTATATTCAATTGCTGGCAGGGAGGTATAGATATGACCAATTTGCTGATCCATCCGGAGTATGCATCGCCTCTTGCACCCTTCCGCTGTGGGTGCATCTGTGTTTTCACGTGCAGTATGCAATGTGTACTTTTTAAAATATGCTGAAGATATATACGCCTTTATTTACTGGTAAATTGTTTTGAAACTGAGTCGAAATAATTTTGACCATTTAAAAAAATTTATTTCATTTTTCAAATGTAACTTGCGTGCAGCTGTCCAGTACTTCTAGACCAAAGAAGCTGCATGTGTCATACAGTGAAACACTTGACTGTGATATAACAGAATGGAAATTATCTCTGAAAAGGAAAAAAAAAAGACAGATTTGGGCTATAGAAATCTCAGCTAAACAGTAACTTGAAAGTAAAATAGCTCACGGACAACACACTTTTTGAAGTTTTATTGGCAATAAATAATATGTTGATGATAATGTTTTGAGTGGTGTGTTAAGTGTGTCATAATTCTCTCACAGCAATCTCCAGTTAAAAAGTACTCTGGATATAGCACTGTTTTAATTTAAAAAAAAACAGATATAAATCATATGCAGGAGAGGAAGTTTGTTATAAACAGTGCTGGGTTTGATTATAATTTTTTGAAATAATGTTGGCTTAGTATTACATTTGAATGTTAAGTATTAATATTTACACGCACTGGGGAGGGAGTCCATGTTGAGTGTACTAATAAGATTGTTAATGCAAATGGGTTTTGTGGGGAAGAGTATTAGACATGTTCCTATTAATATAGCTCTAGGTACCTAGTGATATTCCATCATGAAAGAAATAGATATTGTGCACCCAGGTCCAAATCATATTCACTTCTTAATAGCCAGTGGTGCTTTATTTGAGTAGAGTCATCAGAATTTCGCCCTCTGTTTATGTGTCTGCCTGGGAATTTTTGCTGAAAGTCACAAAGACCCAAATTGCCACGTTAGATGTTACAAGTGGCTTCTGTATGATGCTGATAGTAGCAAAGAGCCTTAGTGGACCTAAAGGCAGGGGGGGAAAAAAGGGACGTGAAGTCTAAAACCTCTCCCCAGTAGCACCACAGTAGTTAAGGGTCTGTCAGCATTTCCACTCCAAACCCCAATTTTCAGAGTTTATAACTCAGCTGTTTTAAATAGCTTCAAGCTGAAACCTGCTGTATAAATTGTCAGCCCAGATGTATATTTTGAAACAAAAAGTAGTGCAAATCAGTTATTCTGTTTTAAGTTACAGAACATTAAAATATTTTTAATAGTATCAGATGCTCTTTTGGCAATCTCTGGAAAAGGCGTTCTCAATATGGAAGATTTTACATTCAGAGTCTGTTTGAATTCAGTGTTTCACAAGAAAAGTTGTATAAGTAGTAGATATCAATGTTCGAGAGGAACTATCTAGCTTGTATACTAGATTTTTTTTTTTTTTCAAAACAAGCATTTTACTCTGCAGAAAGTCTTAGTACCTGCTGTTATATAGTAGTTTTGCTTCGTGCTTATAACTTCCGTCTTTAGGGTACATACTTTGGCCAGTTCAAATCCCACTGGACCGAAACTGGGCAAACAGGTTGCCTAACCAGACGAGAATCGTGTTATGCAAAAAATACATAGTTAATTTCAGCTTGTCAGAATTGGTTTGGTTGTATTTTGTGGCTTCATCTGATTTCTTGTGCCTTTTTGAGCTTTGGTTAAAAAAAAAAAAAAAAAAAAAAAAAAAAAGCAAAATCTACTGTTAATCACCAAATGTGTAGGTAGTTTGATATGGAAAATAAAGATTTTGAAATAGTAGAGATGTTTATGTTTGAAGAAGAAGTGAGGAATGTGCGCTATGGCTTTTAATCTTTAATTTTTTAGGCAGTCCTTATTAATTTCACAGTGCACTTACAATCCTCTTTCTAAGAATATGTAAATAATTTTGGATTGATACATGACATAAAATTACCAAATCAAGATTTATGCCGACAGTCTTTCAGTATGTAAAGTTACTTTTTTGACATTCTCAAAATGATGTGTATTTCTCCAGGTTTCAAACTTGTTTTGCAAAGCTTTTTTCTAACCAGTGCTATTACATATGTGTGCAATAGTCTTCTGGTATTTCATGGCAAAAATGTATGAAATTATGAAAAGAACAAGCGTTTTACTCCTGTTGCATAGCAGGGGGGACTTTTTTTTATTAGCCAAAGTTTTTGTTTTCACCTCTGATTTCAGTTTGTCTTTTCCTTCGCTCTTCCACTAATGAGACAAATAGCAATATTGCATCATACTGTATCAAAAAGCCGGTGCACTTCAGTAATGATGCATTTCTTGACTAGGCGCGATCAGACCAGTTACTCCGGCAGCAGCACGTGCAGTTTTAGGCTGATGTCTAAGCTGACAAATTGAACTGACATCGTGGAGTGGAAGGAGTTGGGGGGAAAGCTCTGAAAAGCAACAGGGGACAGGGCGGGGCCTTTTAGGAGGGTTTACTCCCTCCTGCCCAGGTGTTGCAAGCTGTACCCGTGTTCGGGAGACCGGGTTGAGACGGAGATGGGATGTCGCTGCCTGCTCCGAGCTCTGGTTACCTAGAGAGAAAGAGGTGAGCTGAGGCTGCAGTCATTTCGCTCCCTCTTCCGAGGCCCCTGACAGACTTGCACTTCCTCCTGTGCTCTCGGTTTCTTTGCAGTTCTGGAGTTAATGTGGGGGGTTTTTTGTTTGTTTTTTTTTTTTTTTTGTTTTTTTTCATGAGATATAAAAAGCATAGGTTGTAACTCCCCTGGACGCTAATGTGCGTGGCAAGACTGTCTAGAGATAACGTGGTCTATGGCAAACTGGAGAATGTTTTATAAGTAGTCTCAACCCCCATGCTTTAGAGTTTAAGCCAATATCCATTTATTAAGGGTCAGAGTCAGCTCTATAATCTGTTCAGCAGATTATTATTTGATATTTGATTATTATTTATTATTCCTTACACCTCGCTTTGAAGCCGTCAGACCTGGTTGCTGTCAGACCCAAGGCAGTGAGCTTTTGGGACCTCAGATTTTATCCACAGCGGTGGTTCCTGTGTTTTTATGTTCAGGGACGTTCATATCACTTTAAAGTAAAATCTTTGCTTGATAAATGGAGACCTCACAGTAGTTTGTGGCTAAACTCAGTTTTCAGTTTTGGGTGGTATTACCTGGTGTTTTATAGAAAAACAGAAAAGCACCAGGGTAGATCCTTTTTACACAGCGTTTCAGCTCTGCTATTTTCTTTTTCTTCAATATTTCTTTTAAATAGGATGAGCTATAATTTTCAGTAATATAGTCTATTTTAAATATTTTCTGATTCTCTATACCTTTGTCATTAGTTGTTATTGTTTTAGGAAAACATTGTACAGTGAACTAGGCCACATAACGCCCTCCCTGTATATTCAGAACTCCTTATTCTTTCCACTTAATTAATATTAAAGAAGTGCAACCTGCAATTACTAGTTTCAGCCAGGTTCATTTATGGGAGAGACATTTCAAGCCAGGCTTATGACAAAATGTGATATATATATATCAGGAGACAGAATAAATTACTCTGAATAATATATAAAGTTGTATCTGGCCATGTAAACTGGTAGGAACTGCAAGGAGACAGACTTTGTATCTAAAGATTATTTTTTTTTTTTTCAAGTTTGAGCTCAGCCATTAAATACTGGTGAATCTTTTTTTGTTATAAATTTATTTCCAGCATCAGTATTAGCTAACCAGGCAAAAGGAAATTCTCTTCTTGTTGCTTTTGTGGACTTCTTTTACACCATGTCAAGAAACAAGTATATTTTCTTCCTTGTAACTTTGTATTCCTGTTTATCTTTACTTTTACTTTAAAAAGTCACAGTGCAGTAACACTGTAGGTATCCCTAGTGTTTTCAAATTAGAAGACAGTAGCTGCCTGCTCTGTGGCATTTAGCTAATCAGATGTTGGAGCACTGCACAACCACTGAAGCATAAAAGTGAGATTATCAGCTAGCTAAAACATAAGGAGAAATAACTTTGATATCTTCTGCTCATCCATCCTGGAATCTGAGGGAGGTATCAGCGCTAACCACATGCGACTCTTGCGAGCGCTATGAAAATTTACATGCCTGCAAGGAAATACAGCCTTTGTTTTATATTGCATCTGTAGAGTTTGAATTCCAGCCATAAAGTGCTCCATTGCAGCAGCATGTTGGGTGGAGAGCTCTGTCTGCCAGTGCCCCCGGTGCCGCTCCTGGGATGGGTAGGTGGGGGGCTTCTCTCTAGCTTGAAGTCTGAGGAGCTCTGGGGTCAGGGTGATGGGTGCAACCCGCAGAGAAGTAAAACCAAATCTAGGTGATAAGGCTGCTAATAGTAATGTCTAACTTTCCATTTCAAATGCGTTCCCGCGTATAATTTATGGATAAGAGCCATGCCTCATGTTTTCTCGCTGCTCACTGGTTGCTAAGAACAAAGTTGGCCTTCAGGAAGCATTAAACCATACACTCTACATAAGGATATTGAATGTTTCTGAAGAAATGTAACAAAGAAGAAACTCCCTATTAGGCTATGAGAAAGGGAGACAATACAAGATGTTTCTCTGTTTGATGTGGCACTTTGTTCTGTGTTCAGCTAATACATGACTCTTCACCACAGCGGGCTGGAAAAGCTGCCACAGAGCTTCATAATGAGCGTGGCAGCCTGCAAAGCTGGGATGGAGACACGCGTTTTCGAAGTGTTGCTTCACGAGTTGTGGTTGTCTTCCCGTTTTAACAGGTGGTGGCCTTAGGAGAAGTGCCTGATGGGACGGTGGTCACCGTCATGGCTGGAAACGATGAGAACTACTCTGCAGAGCTGCGAAACGCTTCTGCCGTGATGAAGAACCAGGTGGCCAGATTTAATGACTTACGATTTGTGGGCAGAAGTGGAAGAGGTAGGCCACTGCATTTTACGTGTCTGTAATGAAGTAAGAACACTGTCTATATGTCAAACTTACTTTGCAATGAAATACTGATTAATCTGTAAATAAATCATTGTCAGCCTTTCATTTGGAGGGCTGAATGCATGTTTTATTTGCAAACTTCAGGATCTGTGCAAAACAAGAGTTTCTCTTAGGTTTTTCTGACTGCTCACATCTCTGTACGTTTTTATGAGACACAGGTTTTGAAAAATGATTCACAGAATACCTGCTTCCCTATTTTAATCACACAGCAAAGGCAGAAGGAAATGGGGATATTTGTAATCTGGGTTATGTAGTGTCAGGGAGTGTATCTCAGGCCACGGCAGCGAAAGATGGAGAATTCCCTTTAGTAGTAGGGCTGCTTCTGAAGTTGTTGTAGAAGACCTGTAATTAAAGGGATTTTGCATATCACATGTGCTATAGGTTGTATTCTTTAAGGCCTTACATCTTTAAAGGCTTACGGCTATTGGTAGTGACTTCCGTGCTCTTTACAATAAAACTGCATATGACCTGCAAAAATAAGCTGTACTTTTCTTTTAGTAAGCTGGTTGACTTCTTATGAATTGCTGGTAAGCTTGGGCTTGAACTAAATTTAACCTTTACTTTAAATGACAGGGTAACTTTCATTTTTTTTTCTTTTTTTTTTTTTTGAAGATGTAGAGTGCTGTCATTGTCTTCCAGCTGTTTAGGAGCTTCCTATAATCTGGAAACTGCACTGCACTCATAGAAAGCCTTTGTAATCATTGCAAGTTTGCAAGCATTCCTCTTTAAGATTCTTGTAGCTGCTTTCAAATTTCAGGTAATGACTGAAAGGATAGCTTGAAGGAAGCTGGCACTTCTGCACTTTTTCTGCAGGTTTGCTGTATCAGTCATTGATTCAATCTACTTTTTTTTTTATGTATTTGAAGTAATTACTTGTTTTTTAAACTATCTCTGCATGGGGCAAAACAAAGCAATAGAAGCTGAACAACTGTGTTGGGAAATGAGAAATACAGCTAAATTTATGGTAATATTCTTTAGAAAGCAGTTGTAATTCATCTTATGGAAGGCAAGAACCAGAGAAAGACTTGTTAAAAAAAAATAAACATGTGACAGAGGCCTAGATAGTCTAAATCAGTCGTCACGCTTTTACAAGTGCTTTCTGAAAGTGAGTCCATAAGCGTGGCTTACAGTGGCTATTTTTTATTTTAGTGACCTGGCCAACAATTCTCTTTATCATTTTACAACTTAAAAAGTATCAATAATAATAACTTGAAAGACAGAATAAGTATCACAACAGTAATGCAATATAAATATGGCGTTCATTGCCCTTTTGGATAAAGTGTTACCTATCTCTTCCATTTGTCTTGCTTTCTTTAAAAAACCCTGTCTGCTTTGTTATTCTGCTGATGGATTAGGTTTGAAAGTTCTCTGGCTCCATCACTACTGCTGCCTTACAGTAAAAGTTCAGTAGTGTATCAGTCTTTCAGTAGTGCTGAAAAAGAACTGAAATGTGATGTACTACCTCTGATCTGTGAATTTCATTTGAAACGTATGATATATACTTTTTATTAAAGCATAGGAAATGAAATAAAGGGCCTAAAGCCTCAGTAGATATGGCTACAGACGCATATAAACACAAACCTCCTAAAATTTGGTTCCAGTAGTTTAATTTATATTTGTCTCTTGCAGACTTGGAATAGACTTTTTCTCTGATCAATCTGGGTAGAATCTATGGAAAAGTGATAGTGTACATTTCAAACCCTCAACATATTTATTTAAGAGACTTCAAAGAAAAACAAAGGGTGTGCACTGTTTTACTATATTGGCTTTCTGAGTTTTGGCTAGTTTCCCAAATAGCAATTTTTATATTTAAAAAAAAAAAAAAAAGGAAGAAAAAAGACAGACTTAACTGCTTGCAGACTTTTCACGCATGGAAGATGAAGAAAGCTTCTTTTGATGAAGTGTAATTATGTCCAAACAGAGCTGACCCCCTCCCCCTATATTTCTTATGATCTTAACGGAAGAAAGTAGGGCTTTTCCTTTGAAGCAGCCGGGACTCGGTGGAGGATCTGAAATGCTGCATTCTGCTGCCAGAGGCAGGATGGAGAAATTGGTCCAGACTTGTCTTCCAGACTTAGAACAGAGAGGGGGAGAGAGAGAGAGGGAGAGAAGGAGAAAGAGTTATCATTAATGATAGATTTTTAGAACTCTGCTTAAAATAGCAGGAAAAGAAAGCAGTAGTTGCAAACAGAAGTGAGAAAGCTCCTTACATAGACAAATATCAGTAGATACAGGTCTTGAAGTAGAACAGGAAAAATAATGTAATAAAAAAATCATTTTTCGGTGGCGAGAAACTAATCCACACCTGTTCCTGACTTTAGATTTACATCTTTCTAAACAGCTTGCTCTTTGATCTCTGTATCTCTAAATTTGATTGTGAAGTCTGAATCATCAACTTACCACTTCACCTCCTCTCCCACGTTTTCTCTTGCTTCCCATGGCTCAATGAAGAAACTTGATTTTTATACATATTAATGTTGCTTGCCTGACAGAAGCTTCATGTTTTTGTTTGTATAATTTTTCTTAAACGCCTTTTTTGGATTCATAAGAATAAGTAACCGGAGCACTTTATGTGAATGCAGAAGTTGGTTGTATGAGGTTTTCAGGCGATAGCTCACGTTTGCAAGCCTGATCCACAGCACAAAGAAAGAATTCCTGTCTTCAATAAGCAAAGGATCATAACCTTAATTTTGTTGTGTCCCGATACTTTAATCACATTAGCATCTAACTGAAAAAATATGCAACACGCACAAGCTGCTGAGTCTCCTTTCAAGCTAATTTCTGGGATTTGCCTTGTGCTTCAGCATATGTCCATCTCGTCCTCCTGTGTCAGCTCAACTCACATGTGTGAATAACAAAGAATGCGCAGTTTAGACACACTGAAGCAATAGTGCCAGATGACTGCTTGGCTGGGGAATTTAATAAAAGAGAGCTACAATTAGTCTTTAGCTTCTAAAAGTGGATAGTTGAAATGACTAAGGGCAATAAAGAAAGGTGATAAAAAGTGCATTAAAGGATTTCATAGCTGAGGAGGGATATCTGTGATGTATCTGTGGAAGGCATAAGCATTGCTGAAACAGAGGACTTTAAAAATTTATTTTGTTCTTAATCCTGTAATATGTAAATCATCTTTTGAAAGCTCTGGAACCTGAGTGCAGTGGCAGGGCTGCACAGCTCCCCGCAGTGAAGTGATGTATTGTTTACTGAGCGCGAGGGGGCTTCTTCAGTGTTACTTCATTAATGCTTCGGTTTGGTAGAATACCAGTTAGGGAACAAAACCAGTTTCTCTTTCAAATTAGATGCTTACCTGTTGAGCTTAGGCTGGCTGAGAGGTGACAGTTTAGAAATGCTGACAGACAAGGTTGAAACATAGCTCTTTACATTAAGGAATGCATTTTTTCTAGCCACTGTATCCCCTTGAGATATTTAGTGTCGTGCTTTGCCGTGTTTTTCTATAGAATGATTTTACAGGGTCTTACAAGTAGTATATTTTGTTGGTTTAATTTTTAGTTGTGATAGTCTTTTATACTGATTTGGCATATAAATAGCATGGGAAGGCCAAATTCTTCATTCAAAGGTATATGGAAAATCCCTTTAGTATCTTTGCTACCAATAATATTCTACTGATTTTATATAGTGTCTTTGCTACCAATAATATTCTACTGATTTTATATGGGTAACTGTGATCTGAAAGTCCTCATCATACAGTTTAAGAGTCAGAACTTTCTGCCATGACAAGCTGGCGCTGAAGGAGGCCTTAAACCTGTCCCAGGCGAATTACATATATGCAAGCAATAGGCTGAATTCCTTCTTGGAGAGGGATGAAAGGCACGGACCCTTTTCAGCCCTAAACAAGCAGGCGTGGAGGCACTGTGTGCTTCCGCAAGGCTGTTGCTGTGTGTCTGAAGGCTGCCTACGCACACGCTGTGCTCCGGCAGTTTACCTCAGGAGACGGCGGATAGGCAGGACTGAACAAAGACTGGACGCCCTGTGTACACCTAGCTCTCCTCTTATGATGATCCCTCTCAAAAGATTTGAAAAAATAATCCCAGTGAAACTGGGAAAAACCACCTTCAGCCGTGCATCTCCACTTGGGCAAAATTCAGCATCCTGAGATTTTTGCACCTTTGCCAGGGTGCTGACCTCCCCTCTAACCTGCATCTCTCGGAGAGGTGGGCACAGCTGGAGTACAGCTATACCTGGAAAATCATTTTACTCTAAATGACAGTTATATTTCCTTAAAATAAAAATCCACGTCACATTCTAGTTCATGAAAAATATAGCCAAGACAGTTTGAAGTTGCACTCTTGATAATAAATGATGCGTGTCTCAGGCAAGTTTGGGGGATATACGACTTGGACCAGAAAGACCAATTACTAGATTTGACAGCCAAAGCTCTGTTCTGTATTATGCCTTATATATAAGCTGTTCTATATTAGGCTCAAAAAAACTACATTAAGTTTGTGCTGTTACCTATCATTTAAGATTTGTGTCTTGATTGAATGCCTTCAGAGTTCAGCAAGAGGAAAAAGCCCTAGCAACAAAAATGCACGTATGCACACAAGGAAGAGGCGGGGGGAGAAGGAGTTTTAAGTGTCTGGTAAAGTTGCAGCTTAAATGAGCACTAAGGCCGAAGATTGCTGACTGTTTTATTGAGTCACTGTTGTACGCCCACCTTTTCCTGTCTTGAAACAGTTTTCAGTTTTGACTATCTGACATGACTAACCGTTGCATATCTAACAGATTACAACTGTCAGTGAGTCTCCCAAACGGGGACCAGCGCCTTGTGAGAATGTATGTTCAGACACAGGCAGCTCCCTTTATTTATTTCTTTTTAACGTTTTCATTCAGTTAAAGGCTGCAGATGATCTTGTGCAATCTCTGTGTGAATTCAAATTAAAAAAAAAAAAAAATGCAGACTTATGGTAGCAGCATACGCACACACAGCAGTTCCTCACCCTCATGGGAGAGTTGGGGGCTTTCTTAGTATTTCATAGATGGAATACAGGTAGGAAAAAAAAGTGTGTTCTAGTAATAATGATATCATCACATTACCCCTGGCATATGAAGGACAGGAGACACTGATTCCCTGTTAAAATGACTCCCAGGAGGAAAATATATTCTTTCCTCATCTTATTGTAGTCAAGTCAAACAAATGAAATGATAAAACTGTGTGAAGTAAATAACATGTGGCCACATTCTGCTCTCTGTCACACAGCTGCAAAACTGGAGTAAATTTTTAAATTATCTGACTTGCTTTGGATTTACACCACTTTCAATACAGCAAAGAATTTGGCTTGTCTTCAGCAGTGAATCACTTTTGTTCTGTCATTGTATGATGACCCATTATTAAATAAGAAACATTTAGATTGTCAACACATGGACATATTCTTGACATAGAGTAAAACTGAAGGGGAGGAAAACTCCTATGGTCAGTTATGTTTTTAATTTTCACGATTGTGGTAACGACAGGGAATAATTTTAAACGTCTCTGATTCTTTACTGAACATGCATGTGACTGTTTTCATGTTGTAATCACTCATTCCTTGTTTTTTTCCCTTTGTAGGGAAGAGCTTTACTTTGACAATAACTGTCCTGACAAATCCCCCCCAAGTCGCTACATACCACAGAGCTATAAAGGTTACAGTGGATGGGCCAAGGGAGCCAAGAAGTGAGTATTATATTCTTATTTTTACACTTACGTCTGCTTAATTTTGTTTAAGAGACCCATAAATGAAATATATATCTTTGTCAAACATTGGTTCTTGCTCAGCAAAATATGTAAGCGCATGCTTAATTGAGAGTCTATTGGACCACACACATACTTGCATTAAACACACACTTAAGTGCTTGGCTGAATTTGGGCAATCATGAACCTGATTCTCATTCACATCAAGGTCTTGATACATTATCTGCCAGTGTAAATGAGAACTAAACCCACTGTATTTATATATAATCTGATTTAGGTATAATAGATACAATCCTGCAACATGCTGAATACCATAAACTCCCTTAAGCTTCCAACCGAAGACGTTTAGAACAAAATAGGAGACTGATCTTCAGGATCATTCCTAGTGCAGAGACAAAATATATACTATAGTACCTTTTTGTTTGCCCTTAAATTCTTTTGCCATCAGATAATTAATGCACCTGGTTAATCTCATCATACCTGAAATTGGTTTTCAGCTGTGGACTCATCATAGACCCCTGGGGGCCAAAGAAAGATAAAAAAACAGTATATCAACAGCATGGTCTTTGTTTCTTATATGTGCACAGAAAGTCTATTTTATTTAAACATAGTCCAGCAGATTTTCCCTCAGCATGTTTATCTCATAGCAGTGCACCTTCCTAACTTACTAAGAATCTATTTGCGATGATCTCTGGCTGTATTTTTATGACAACTGTGTTTTGTCATGTTCTAGCAGTTTTATGGGTAGCACTTATTTTTAGATACAGTCAAGTCTGGTTATCTATCGTGATTTATACGGCTGTCTCTTTGTCTAGCACATTTAGCTGATAACTGGTCTCACATCATATGGGTATCACTGATGAGGCAGTTCTGAAGTTTTTTCTTAATCTGGCTAGAACGGCTCTTTCTAAATTGATTGGATTAACCAGGTATAGCTGTATTTAAATTACATCTAGAGATTAAGAATTATTTGATGAATAACCACATCAAAAAAATCCCTATAATAGAAGCATCTCAAATAATTATTTTGCCTTTGATCTGCACATACAAATGAGACCTTTAAGGAGCTCTCATGGAGTTTTGTTTAAAATACCACAAAGACAGAAGAGGTAGAAAGACATAGACAGAATTCACGCAATTAAATGTTTCTCTTGCTAATACACGCTGCAGTGTCACCTCCTCTTACATTGAGACAGGAACTGAAATGGCTTCTGTAAGAACTGTTCGGGCTGTAGAGTTTCACCTTGAATAATAAACTATGGATAAATTTCATTATGTAGATACTTACATTGCTACCAGCTCACAGCTGAGGTGTCCGTCTATCACAGTGAGGGGATTTTTGTTCTGTCTTCTCTCCTGAGCTGAATCAGTTCCCATTTCTAATTTTCACCTGCAGCTGGTGCTCCATGTAGCTTACCTGGAGACACTGAGCAAACTGCATTCATGGAGTAAAAACCAGAGAACAGGTTATATATCATTTAGCTATTCCCATTGAGAGGCTTCTTCCATGTATATATTGAGGCACTGGCAAAAGAGGAAATCTCCCAGCAGAGGACACAACCGCTGTGAAAGAGCAAAGTGGTTTGAAAATGATGTGGAGAATAGCATGGACCACCCTGTGTAGCACAGAAAGGGAACCTGCTTGCATTGGGACTAACCATTTTGATGATCAGTGGACTAAAAATGAGGCTGTGTTCATATCACTTAATAAGATTTCCAAGTTTGGCTGGAGTTTTTTTAGTTTAGATCTGAAAGGCCTCTGTACATGACACTTGTCTGCTGTTGTCATTGAATAACTGAACCTAGGATTGCTCAGTAACTTAGTCCTTATAGCCTAGATGGAATTGATGGAATTATTGTGTCTGTCTTAATCTTTTTTTTTTTTTTTTTTTTTTTTTTTAAGAAAGCCAAATTTGAGATTGAATTTCCAATTGTATTGGAATATTTTGGCTAAATACTCATTGAAGCTCTCCTCTGGGGTCAGCTTGGTTCTGCAAGTTCTGTTACTGCAGTCTGATAGTTTCAAGGCTACGACACCTTTGGAACGACTAGTTATTAAACTTGAATTTTCAGGGGAAAAGTAGCTCCAGTGAGCTGTGGGAGTCTCACTTAAGTTCTGCTTTCTTCTGAGAGCTGCTGTACTCCTGTAGATTTATTGCTGTTTGGTAGTAATCATTCAAGAAGTATATCTGGGATTTACGTTGCGTAAGGAAAATTAGGTGGTTGGGGGCAATAAAGAATTTGAGTCAATGAGCAGCTCTGATAACAAATGTGCTTTTCTTAACAAATTATGTATCGGCAAATAGTGCCCCTCTCTGCCAGGATCTGTATTTCACTTCGACATCTCAAGCATGTTATCCTAGTTTTCCTCTCTCTGGCAGCTCAACCAGAGCTGTCACATCACAAACAACTTTTTTCTTAATATACACATCTGGCGTTGGCAGTTGGACCAACTTCATAAGAGCACATGATCATCATTCATTACAAGATTAAAAAGTACCCCATGGCATCATTGATGTTTTTTAACTTTGATCTTTTGCAGTTGTGATTCATCTCAGTTATAAAACTTCCCTTTAAAGGAACACAACTGATGACTTATTAGAACCTTCATTCTAAGTAGCGTAAACATAAAATTATGCACATCTTTACAAAATGTCATTTACTTTGTTGCCAGCTTATCATTTTAAGACATGACATCATGCTTTAGATCGTGAATTTGTAAGGCTTGTTTATAGGCAAGGCACTCTGACCTTCTTTCTGTTGGCAAGTTGACTTGAGCGAACGAATGCTGCGTGCTTTCCAGCAGCAGTAGGAGCAGCAGCAATACCATAACAGATATCGCAATCATTTAGAACCTGACTTTAAGAGTGCTGAACAGTCATGGCATGCAGTGACTCCAGTTGGTGTTTTGGATGCTCAGCACTTCAGAAAATCAGGTTCTTAAATGTAAGTGCCATTTATTTGTATTAAACGTATGCTTGTAGAAGCTTGCTGCTTTGCCTCTCTGTTATTATTTTAAAATATTTTAATAGAGACAGTGATGTCAGGTTGCTCTGTTAGGAAAACCTGCCCACTTCTATATGAGAAAAGGTATTCAGATAACTTTTCCGTGGAAAATATTTACTTATTTTTAATTATCTGTTTCAGTCTATCTAGATTACCATCTGGGGACATCTACTGTGTTGCAGAGTCTTTATACTGGATTGAGACAGCTCATTGCACTCTGAGTGATGGATTCTAGAGACGGGGTTGTATAAGATCTTTGGGAATCATTGGGAAATCTTGCAGATATTTCTCTCTTCTCACATCCAGGATAAAACCTCTGCCATATGTATAGTTTGGCCAGAAGAGCTCCCTTCCAGCTGTGAGGGCTGAAAGAAGCTTTCCAGAGAAATAAGTTGTTATGAGGCATAACTGACCAACAGATAGCAAGAGATCACTGTAAAGGAATTTAAAAAAAAAAAAAAAGTACAAAAGAACTCCCAAACCTTTACCTAAGCCCCCTTTTAATGCCTTTGCCTTACCTCATTATAATTACAGATAATGATTTGCCCTTCCATAGTGATACCTTTTGAAACAGGAGACATGTCCTCCTTTCTGACTGCTTTTGGTAGAATTTCAGTCAGGAGGGAAATCCTGAGGAAGGAGAAAGAAGTCTATATATTTTCACATTTTGCCTGGATTCCAATGACTTTAGTTTGTCTCTAGTTAAAGGTAGTGTTCAAAGTTACCAACCACAATTTTCTTTATCAGCATGAATGGGAAAGTCTTTCTGAGCTTTGAACTGAAGTGTTTCAGTAGGAGAAAACTGCTCTATTTCATTCAGCTCCCGAATATTTCTCTGCCACCGCCGCTTGCAAGGTGCACACGTGATGAAAGGTATGAGCAAACATCGCCTTTTTGTCTGTGCACGCTGCAGAAGCCAGTGAAAGCCAGAGAGAGGTTCTGCTCAGCCTTTGTATTAACTGTTTGGCCAACCCAGCTTATAAAAAGCAGATAAATGATTAAGATTTTTGAGATTCCTCAACTTAAAACCATAACAGTTTTTAGGATGTTCTCCCTCTTTTCTTTCAAAGAGGGAGAGTGGAAGGATAAGTCTGGGGCTAGTGGAATGTGCATTGGAGTAGAACAGCTTTAAATCTTTCAGTTTGGTTTTTTGGTTTTTTTTTTGTTTTGTTTTTTTTTTTTTTGTTGACTGCCTGTCAGCAGCTGGGCTGGTGGCCAAGCAGGAAATGACACATCGAGAGGCATTTGTGTTGTGCAACATTTTGTGGAACTGATGCAAGGATACATTGTCTGTTTACGCATTCCTCTGCTAACAGCCTGCATGGCAGTACTTTTATTCAGGGACACATGGCATGCTACAGCAAGAAGCCAGATCCGTAACATCTCTTTATGCAGAATTATCACAGCAGTTAAAACACGCTGTGTGTCCCCTGGTTGGAATACTCTCTGGCTTGCCTTCAAAAACCACTGTACCAGCCCCACTTCTTTCCCAATAATATATTGATTTGACTGTGGGTTTTTTTTGTTTTTTTTTTTTTTTTTTCACTGTGTTGAATTGGGGCAGCGCAGAGACAGTTTGCAGAACAAGAGGAAATTTTACGGGCAGGTCCTACTTTGTGCGTCTAACTCAGACCGTAAATGGATCATTGTAGTTTTCTGAAGTGATGCTTTGCAGACACTCAACACAGAAGTTTGCATCTTCATGTGCTTTGGCATGGTGAGGAGGTTTTTAATTAAAGTCAATGCTAAATACCCTGAGATACAATGAATGAGTCCTGGGTTTTCATCCAAAATGAAGTTAGAAAATCTGCAACTTGCACTGGTCTTTCAGAGTGACAAATCTCTACTGAGATCAGCTGGGTTATTCCGGATTTCTCCCAGCGTAAGTGGGAGCAGAGGAAGGCAGAGTGGGCGGTGTGGTGGTTTGCAAGTTGCTCTAAGTGACTTTGTAAAGCTTAATGTTTGTGTTATAATGC